TATTTTCTCAATACAAGTTCTTTTAATATAGAGATATTTTCTCCTAATCTACAACTTGTCTTTTCATTTTCTCAGTGGTATCCTTCCAAGACCAGAAATTTTAATTCTTGTGAAATGCAAACTCATTTTTTTTTTCTGGTTCTTTTTGTGTCTTAAGGAAACCTTTGCATTTCCTTTATTATGAGTAAGGCTGTGCATCTTTTTTTCTAAGGGCCATTTGCTTATTTTTTCTGAGAACTGGCCATGTCTTTAGCCACTTTTTAAAAATTTGGTCTATTGGTGTTTCTCCTCTTGATATTTATTTATTTGAGACAGGGTCTCACTCTCTGTTGCCCAGGCTGGAGTGCAGTGGTGCATTCACAGCTCACTGCAACCTCTACCTCCCGAACTCACACCATCCTCCCATCTCCTGAGTTGCTGGGACTACAGACACCTACCCGGCTAATTTTAAAACATTATTGTAGAGAAAGGGTCTCCTTAGGTTGCGCAGGCTGGTCTTTAACTCCTGGGCTTAAGTGATCCTCCCGCCTCGGCCTTCCAAAGTGCTGGGATTACAGGCATGCCTGGCCTCTCTTCTTGATTTCTAAGAGCTCTTTGTCTATTACTGAGATGAGCTGTTTATGGTACGTTGTGATGTTTTCTCAGTTTGTCTTTTTGACTGTTTTCCTGTGCATATTGCATGCATGTGTTTTTGCAGAGTCAAGTGTATCCATTTTTTATTGCTTATGGATTTGGGATCATAGGCCTTCCCTACTCCCAGGCTATAATGAGCTCACCCACTTTTGTATCTAGTATTCTTATGGTTTCATTTTCTCTAATATTTGGATCTTTATCCCATTTGGAGTTGATTCTAACGTGTGGGGTAAGGCATGGAATCAATTTTATCTTTTTCCAAGTGACTCTCTACTTCTCTTCATATCATTTATTTTAAAAGTCTGTCTTTTCCTAATGAGCTGAGATGGCACTTCCCAGGCCATTATCATTAAAATTCTTGATTTCCACATATTCTTGGACATGGTCTTCTCTTGTTTCTGTACTCTTCGTGTCCTGCTGGCCATCTGAGTGTTCCCCTGCAGACACACCCTCTCCTCCTCGGGGGTTTCATGACGTCTCCCTTGGCCCATGGTAGGGGCTTCTCACCGCTTTTCTGTTCAGAGGGTTTCCTGGGTGTCTCTGCTTCCTGTTTTTCCACATAGCCTAGAACCAGTTTGGCTGGCTCCAGAAAACATGTTTTGGCTCCAGAAAACATTTGTTTATCTTTGAAAATTGAGACTTTGTTAATGTATTCGCTTTGAGAAAGCTGACATCTTTATGGATGTTAAATCGTCCTATGCAGAAACAAGGGGTGTGGCTCTATCTACTCCAGTTTACATCTTTCCCAGGTGAAATTCTTCTAGGACTGTCACAGCTGTTTCAGAGGTTTCATATGGATTCTGTACATCTGTTAGGTTTATTCCCATGTGTTTATCTTTTTCATTGCTTTTATACTTTTTAAAAAAAATTTTATAGACCGAGTCTTGCTCTATTGTCCAGACTGGTCTCAAACTCCTGGCCTCAAGCAGTCCACTCACCTCAGCCTCCCAAAGTGCTGGGATTACAGGCGCGAACCACTGTGCCTGGACAATATAATGGGTGCCTTTCTTCCTTTCTCTTTCCCTTTTTTTTTTTTTTTGACGGAGTCTTACTCTGTTGCCCAGGCTGGAGTGCAGTGGCGCAATCTCAAGCTCACTGCAACCTCCACTTCCCGGGTTCAAGCCATTCTCCTGCCTCAGCCTCCCGAGTAGCTAGGATTACAGGTGCCTGCCACCACGCCTGGCTACTTTTTGTATTTTTAGTAGAGATGAGGTTTCACCATGTTGGCCAGGCTGGTCTTGAACTCCTGACCTCGAGTGATCCACCCACCCTGGCCTCCCAAAGTGCTGAGATTACAGGTGTGAGCCACCACGCCCAGCCTCTTTCATTCTGTTTTGAATTAAACATTGTTTGCACTGCATGTGGGGGGTTATAATTGGTTGTTGTCAATTTTATATCTTGTTCTTACCAAATACTTTTTCATTTGTATTCTAAGGGTATCTTAGCATGTATTTTATTGGGGTTTCCAGGTGTACTTTGATATTAAACACAAAAAAATCATTTGTCTTTTCCTTAGGGTTGAACGTTTTTAAAGGTTTGTATTACATATTGCCAAATCTTTTTAAAAATATGGTACCAATTTATACTTCTCTTGTGGCAGTGTTTTGCCATACCCTTGTCAGCACTCAGTATTGATATTTTTAAAAACCTGACAGTTTCCTATGATCTTCATTAAGAGGACATTCACCGTGCCCTTCTCCACACCAGGTGCCCTGCCGAGACACAGCTGTGGTGAGGACACAGTGGGGAGTCTGCAGATCCCAGCCCCCAGTCCCACTCCAGTCCCCCTCCAGTCCCCATCCCATCCCATCCCCACAAGTCTGTGTTCTAGTTGTTTCTTGAGGTTTCCTGAGGTTTCCAATGAAGATGGCTGCTGCCCTCTGAGCCCAGCCAATGGGACAAGGCCAGCAGAGAGCCCGTCCCTGCCCCCGAGATTCGCTCTGGAAAATCCCCGAGTGGTTATGTAAAATGCATTGCTCCCCGCCCCCCGCCTCAGTAGAACCGTGTCACAATAAGCCTTCCAGGTGTCTTGCGGGATCCCCTGCACAGCTCAGGCACTGCCAGCAGCCACGGCCCCTCGAGCGCTAAATCTGTCCAGGAGCAAGGGGTCAGCCAGGCACCTTCCAGGGCCAGTCCCAGGCCACCCAGTCCTGGTGTGGCTGAGCACCTATGCCTCTTCCCCATAGCTAAAAACCTGGTAACATGGATGACAAAATGGGTAACACCTCCCTGAAAGTTTCTGCTTTCCTATAAAGCCTAGTCCCGGCCCGAGTCCTCAGGAACAGAACAACCCCAACCACCCGTTTGCAGAGGGCACTGCTGTTTGGCACTGACCCTGCCCTGCCCAGGCTGGCAGCCCTCCAGGGAGGCTGGGCAGGAGGTCCCGGAGGACATGGCCCACAAGGCTCACCCTTTTTTTTTTCTTTCTTTTTTTTTTTTTGAGACGGAGTCTCGCTCTGTTGTCCAGGCTGGGGTGCAGTGGCCGGATCTCAGCTCACTGCAAGCTCCGCCTCCCGGGTTTACAGCATTCTCCTGCCTCAGCCTCCCGAGTAGCTGGGACTACAGGCGCCGCCACCTCACCTGGCTAGTTTTTTGTATTTTTTGGTAGAGACGGGGTTTCACCGGGTTAGCCAGGATGGTCTCGATCTCCTGACCTCGTGATCCGCCCGTCTCGGCCTCCCAAAGTGCTGGGATTACAGGCTTGAGACACCGCGCCTGGCGGCTCACCCTTTTCATTCTCCACCTTGCCCCATCACCCCCCACCTTGGCATCCTCCTCCAGGCAGCCCGCCCAGCCCTTTTCCATACACCCCTGTTCCCAGCACTGAAGCTTGCTTGTAGTGTGATCTCAGGCCAATTGCCTTACCTCTCTGGGCTTGTTTCCATCTTCACCTCACAGATAGATGTGAGGAGTGAAAGGGGGAGTATTTGCAGCAGGTCTACACAGTGCGTGGCACAGAGTAGGCTCCAGGAATGTGTGTTCACTGAATAGGAGAGTGAAAGAATGGAAGGATTGCACTGGCAAACCCTCCAGGGGCTGTTTCTTCCACTCAGACCATCAGAACCCAGAGATCAGATCCAGGGGCTCCTAAATGCAACCTTTGTTAGAAACACAGCCCCCCTGCCCTGCACTGCTCAGTCCCACCCTAGGGGAGTTTTCAGCCACACTGAGGATGAGCTCGGTGGGGACCTGACCCAGAGAAAGGGACATTTGGTCACTGGACTCCAGACCGGCCCATCCACAGCCTGGCTGGGGCGGCATCTAGACCTCGCTTGGCAATCCCCTCCCGAGAGCTCAGATAGTTTGGCCTCAGGGGAGACGGGGAAGTGAGAGGGCTGCCTCCCCTCAGCCTGGGAGCTGGGTCCTCAGGAGAGGGAAATTTCCTTCTATTTATTTTCGACGTCCTTGACTTTGAAAGCCAAGCTGGTGTTGATATTTACCTTGGCCAGGCCTCCCGTCTCCCCGGGCCAGCCTCGTGTAAACATGCTGTTCCTTCTCTCAGCTCTGCTAGCACTGAGGTGGCCTTTTGCAACCAGTTCTAGGAATTTTGAAAGTCTGAAGGCGTAGCTTCAGGGACTGGCCCTCCAGGGAGCCCAGGGTGCCAGGGACCCTGAGACCTGCTGTGCTGGCCTTGGGCTCTCTTCCTGGGGGTTCACGCCAAGGACCGCAGGGAATGAATGGGCCTGGGCCCATGCGGGCAGGATGTCTCTTGCTGGGTCCCTCAGTTCTCCTCACAGCCACACTGGGGCCTCCCGCTCCCCAGGTTCACTGCGAGGCTCAGACTCGTTGAGGGACTGTGGCAGGATCTGGCTGTCTCTACCGTCCTGCTCCAGGCCCCCTCCACGCTGGCTGGTGGGGAGGGCTTGCTCTTCAGCTCTCTAGTGTGAATTGGGAGTGTCGGCAGCTGGACTATAGTTAGAGGGAATGTAGAGCAGGCACCCAGGGTGCAGCCTCCCGAGGCAGCACGTGCCCACGCCAGAATCCCTGCCCTCCAGCGGGCAGGTGGACCGCAAGGAGAACAAGCTGGCTTGGGGTGGGGTTGAGTGCTGCAGAAGCCAGGATGAGCAGAGGCTGGCTGGGTCAGGGACAGGCCCCCGAGGTGGACGTGCAGGAGGTGAGCAGAGGACATCCCCAGTGCAAATCCCAGCCCTCCACTGTTGGTTCCACCAGGTGGTTCATGCACTAGTGACGCCTTGGCAAGTCTGAGATTTGGTGTCCTTGTACAGAAATGGGGTGACAGTCCATCAGAGACAAGGGAGTGGTTCTGCAGGTGGGAGCTGCCACGACCACTGCGGTTTTAAAGCATCTGTGTGCCTACCACCAGGCAGTGGGACATCTTGGCTGAGCCTCTCCCCTTCTCCACGCAGATCTGGGACATGAGCGACGATGAGACCATCTGAGATGGCCCCGCTGTGAGGCTGACTTCTCCCCGGCCGCCTGCTGAGGAGCTCTCCATCACCAGAGCAGGACTGCTGACCCCAGGCTTGGTGATTCTGGTCCCCTCCTCTCCATACCCTGAGGACTGGGACCCCCTCCGCTGCCCAGGAGCGGCCAGTGTTCAACGTTGCTCGGGATTCACGATGCCACCAGTTCAGAGCTGAATAATAACCTTGGCTTTGGCCTTGTTATCGACCTGGGACTTGGTCCTCTGTGCAGTTTTTATTTCTTGTGACAGTGTCTGATAGCCGTCCCTCAGGATCCTTTTCCCTTGGCCCTCAGGGGGTGGCCCAACACAGACCAAATGGGGAGGTGAGCAACCAGCTCCTGTCCAGAGCCCCTGCGGGAGGTGGTACCCTCATCCCCAGGATGCCCTGCCAGCCCCACTGCAGGCTTCTCCTGTGAGGGCCCTGGGCATGGCTGAGGGTGGGGCCCTGTGAGCACACTGCAGCCTGGCCCTGGTGGAGCGGGAGGAGGAGAGCCGAGCTGGGTGCGAGACTAAAGGGCCCACATGATCCACTGACCCCAGCTTTCCACCACCGATGGAGTGCGCCGCCCAGACATGGCTTTCCTGCCTCCCGGCCTGTCCTCCGCTGTGGGCATAGCATCTGTGCCTGCCTGCCTGCTTGAGGGAGAGGAGTTTCTGTTGCTGCCTTGAGCTGGGGGAAGAGCCCAGGGCAGATCCTGGCAGCTGCCAGGATGAGGTGGAGTCCTCCCTGCCTTTATGAGCATGCCAGGCCCAGAAAGGCGAAGCCTGGGCTACCTTCCTGCCCCAGCTGAGGGGAGGGGTCAGACAGCTCTAACTCAGGCCAGAGCTGGTGTTCCTCTTTCTTCTGGGTGTGTGCAGCTGTGATGCCCCAAGAGCAGGGGTTGGAAACCCAGGAGAGGCCATGGCCTGGGTACCTCTGACCACCCTGCCCCGTGTAGAAGGCATCATCCCTGGAATGCTGTAGGAACCAGAGGCACTCTTCCTGCTATTTTATTCTTTCAGCTTTCGTCTTAGGCCCAAAATCAAAATGAAAATTGAGTCTGGGCTGACCCTTACAACAGCAGGATTTAGTAGGGTAGATTTCAAATGAGGCGTCTCCCAAAGTAGCCAGTCCAAGTTCCGGTGGCTGTCGTTCAGCTCATGGGAGCTTCATGGGGACACAGCCGGCACAGGTGCAGGGCCCAAGTCCGCCCACCCAGCCTGGCGCTGAAACTCACTCGGGGGCTGAAGAGCCACACGTACACTATGTGGTTTAAGAGCACTTTATTATTGTTCTTAAGGCTACTTTTAAGTACAAAAAAAAGATGGCCTGCCAAACCTTTTTTTCTTCTTCCAGGAAAAACAGGCCACAGAGAATGGTATATTACAGATTTACACACGGAGAGACGCTCAGAGCGCACTGCAGGCGGCGTGGCTCTGGGAAGAACTTCACGGAGCCCCTTCTTAGAGCGGGGAAGGGGGCTCTTTCTCAGTGAAATGTTTGGTTTTCTGCTGTCCCCTCTGCCCACAGCCCCCTCCAGGGTACTGCCTATCCCAGATAGGTCAGTGCACCAGGGGACCGGCCACCAGCACCGCCGACCCTCCCAGAGTGACGCCCTTGTTCACTGACAGAGACACCTGTCCCAGGAGTGTCCTCCACCGAGCCGGTCAGCAGCGGGTTGTTTTCCTGTTAGGACGCTCAGTAGCCTGTAGCAATAACAAACTAGTGGCTATGAATGCAGATGCAGTGTTCTCATAGAATAACTGTGTTCCTGCACTTTTACAGACAAATCTACGACAAAAAAAAGATCAACTTTTTTTTTTCCAAACAACAACAAAAAATGAATGATTACAATAGGAAAGGGAAAAATTAAATAGCTACATATCATTAACAAATTAATGTTCTTCAAAAAATACCTACAAATTTCTCTGTACATTCTTTACGCACAGCGTAATGATGGTCTTAAAATTACCTATATAAAAAAAGTGTTCTCAACGATTTTTCCTACAGAAAATATAGGGGCCTGAATGCCAAAGCTTGGAAGCCCAGTAGAGTGGGAGTGAAATGTGTGCGGGGCAAGGAGAAGGGCTTTTCTTTCCTCCACTTTTCAAAGGCCTGCAGCCACCCTGTGACTACAAGAGCCAGTCCTCCGACCTTTTTACCCAGTGCCAATTTCCAAAATTCAACAGCCAAACTGTAAAACCAGAGGTCGTGCAGTGTGCAGAGTCCACAAAGCCTTGCAGGTGAGGTGACCACACCCATGTCACCTGGTCAGGTGCCATCGTCGTGAGCCTCTGCTGGGCCAGGCGGAACACAGCACACCCCAGGCGGAGGGGACAGAAACGCTCATTGACCAAAAAGGAGCAGCTGTGACCTCCACAGCTGTGTCTGTCATGCTTGCTTCATCTAATTTCTAGTTAGTAGCTATTAATATAGCAAATAATAAAATGCAGTAATAACAGTATAAAGTCAGAGGAATGTATACTGCCTTGGCCCCAGCGTACGAGGAAGCGTATAAAACACCGTATCACAGATTGTCAGTAATCTGCTGTTCAGCCAAGAGAGTTCAAAGGGAGCAGTTTCTGCATGTAGGGAAGCTGGAAGACACAAACCCCACCTCCCCTGGGAGCTTGTAACAAAGCAGACAGGGATGCAAAAATGCTGTCAGCCGGCAGCAAAACTCCAGCATCCCACACCGCAGCTGACCCACTGCTCATCGCGAGGGCCTGCCAGGAGCTGGCCTCCCGCACTACTTGTGAGTAAAGTGAATATCAAATACAAATCTTAGAGTACAACTGTACCAGCAGTAAGTATATCTAGGACTGTAACTGACAAAAATAAACTAATTCTGAAAAGAAGATAGTAAGTATTAAGGTTTTTGTTTACTGTCTATATAATTAATAGAAACCAGCTATTTTTTCTCCATTAAAACATGCATCACGTTTAAAGCACTATGGAATCCTCCAACCTCAGCTCTAGTCTAACAAACTGCAGTGTTCAGAGAAGGTAAAATGCCCGTGATTGGTAGAGTCTGCAGTCCAGTTGCAAGCACCTGAAATCTAGAGAGAGAAAGACCTATAAACTGTATGAGACTTCCCCTTCCAAAGCTGTATTGTCTAGATTAAAAAAAAACAAAAACAGTAACAACAACAAACACACAAATGGTCAGAAATGTCATCCTTAAACCCTTTTTCAGCAGTTTGCCCTCAGAGTTCTGGCATCACACATAAAGTTGTCAGGCAACTTTAGTCCTCCTCCAATAGTGCAAATCAGACACGACAGTTCTCTTCAAGTATACACACGCACACACACGGACCGAACCAAACACGCCGTGGAAGCTGAGCCACACACACCCCGGTCTCAAGAAGCAAAGGAAAAAGCACAAAGCATCTGAGTCACCAATTCATCATGGCTTGTGACTGAGAAAGCGCTGTGGAGTCCTGGCCCCGTTGGGGCGGCAGACCTGCATCAGAGGTTTCTTTGGTAACTGAGGCAGGAAGTAAGGATGCTACATTAGACAGATGTTCCACACGTAGTTCCTGCTATCATGTTTGAGGGCCCCCTTGTACGGATACCAAGCAAGTACAAAAACAGAACAAAAATCCCAACCACATGGTTTTTGCGAATAAACCATCCCTTCCCTTCCCCCCACCCCACCCCCATGACTTTTTTTTTTTTTTTTTTAAGTACTGACTGTTCAAAGCTCAGGCAAACCATGCAGATCCACGTGGTGTTGGAGGCGGCGCTCCCTTCAGGAGACCACAGAGGGGGAGTGACTGTGGCTGACCATGTGGGCAGAGGGGCTGGCGGACTGGCCCCTGCGAGAGGCGGACTCAGGGCTGCTGGACGCTCCATCCTTGGCCGCTTTGATCTGGAGCCACGTGTCACCCAGAGCTTTGGCAAAGTGGTCGTCCACGGAGCCCGTGATGGACACAGAGTTGGGTGCCGGCTCGGGCTCCTTGTAATTCTTGCCCAGGCTCCTACGGAAATGCTCCTCCACCACGGGGTCACAGGTGGTGGTGGCTGCAGGCAAGCAGGAAGGCAGTCAGACACAAGTGGCTGCAGACAGGCACGGGTGCAGCACCCTCCCTCGGGCAGCCCAGAGCTGGACTGGCTGCCACAGTCAGTGTGGGCTCTGCAAACAGAACCCACCTCCCCCGGCTAAGTCAGGCACTTGGGCAGGTCACTTCTCTGTAAAATGGTGATGTACCGACTGCACTGGGCCAGAGTCCAAGTTCAGAAAGAGAATGTGGCATTAAATGTAAGTAACAGTAGCTGCTGCCCTCCCTGAACTAGGGCATGAGATCCTGAAATTGAGGGGGGCAGCGTGTTTCTCATGCCCTTCCCACCCAAGCCACACACAACGCTAGGTGCACACTGGACGTGCTCAAAAAATACTTTTTCAACCTCAGCAATAGATGGGCTCAGGGGCAAGGGGTTTCAGCCAACAGCATGACAGAGAAGGGCTCTGCTGCTACTAGCACAGCTGTGACAGGTGAGGAGGCCCGGGACACTCACCGCTTGGTGGCCTCCGGTAGCTGGCAGGCCCGGGCGCGGCACAGCCGCTGTGCGCAATGGGGCAGTGCGAGAGGTTGCAGTTGCGGGCGCCAGCCGAGGCACAGGTGATCACGGAGGGCCGGTTCTGCGGGGAAGAGGGGTGTCAGTGTGTGGAGACGCGCCTCAGTACTGGGCACCGCCCCTGGGGCCCTCCCCAGCACCCTTCAGGCTCTGTTCTGGAGCCCTTCCTGACCCACTCTGCCACCTCCCACTTCAACACTGGAGTCCTGTTGCTAAACACGGCCAATCCACACAGAGCACGCAGCTCCAAGGGTGTGTGTAGTGGCCCTTGGTCGTGGCTGTTTGGATCAGTGAGAGTACAAAGGACAAAAGCTCAACTGTTGAGTTGGTCTGTCCCCCTCTCTCAAATCTGTTGAGACGAACACCGAGCATCCTGTGGAGGGCAGAGGGTTGCAGGAGGGACCTCGCTCCTCCCGGTAACGTCCCCAGAGCCCTTCCCATTGTGTCCACTGAGCCGCGGGTGTGCCTGGAGCCATCCAGGACACTTCAATACATGGCAATTAACTGGAAGCATTTTGCTTGAGCCAAAGCCAGCTCGAGTTGGCTTCAGTGATGACCTACAAATCAGGACAGAGAGGAAATGGAGGAAATACGCCTAAGTGTAGAACGGCACACGTCCCACCCCAGCCCGATCTGCCTTGCACACAGGCTCACTCTCCTTCCCTGCCACTCCTACGCTGTCTCCCTGGCAGACTCCCCTTGTTCCTTCAAGCCCTGTTCAGATCTCTCTGTGAAGCCTTTCACTGGCTGCCCCCCGCTTCACTCCTGCTCCCCCAACCCACCAAGATTCAGCAAGTGCATCGGTCTGTCCAGGTGCTCCTGTAAGACCATGCACACCAAGTAGCCCCCCAGCCTTGGTGCAGAACCTGGGACGGAAAATATGTGTGAACTAAACAGAACTTCCTCAGGTTCCCCCAGGAAAAGTATCTTGCCATATCCCTGAGGACAAGGTGGTGGAGTATGTGGGCTGAGTTCCAGGACAGCCAGTGAGGAGCTGGTTGAAATCACCCCACAGGGACCAAAGGTGACAGTAGTGTCAGCCAGAGGGATGCTGGGCTTTGTCCTTCCCAGCCAGCCCTTTCCATTCAAGTCAGAGCAGTAGCTGGTATAAAGACACAAAAGGCTTGCCTGCCAGACCTTCTCATGATAGAAAGTGATTGGGAATGGCGAAAATGGATTCTAGGATGAAAATGTGGATCCACAAGGATGAACTGGGATTAAACATAAGGGTCTGTACTTGGGTCTAACAAGAAATGACACACGCCAGGGTAGAGGGAGATGTGGCTTAGCAGCTGCAGACAAACCAAGAATTCGGGGTTTCTGAGTGGCGCAATACTTCCGCAGTGGGACAGAGCTGCCCAGAGTTCGTGTCGCCTCCGTGGTGTGCACAGGTGGCAGCGCAGAGAACCTGGGCAGGTGGAGCTGGGCTGAATGTCCACGCTCTGCCTGTGGACAGGGCCTCAGGCGAGGGTCTTCACAGTGCTGAGCAGACAGGGTCGGAAAGGGGATTGGGGACCGACAGATGAGGCCTGGAGCAGATCTCACACTGGCTGACCACAGAGGTCAAGCAGCAGCAAGAGAGCAAGATACCAAGACCTGGACATGCGCAGAGCCAGGAGGAAGGAGGGCCTGCCCCGTCCAGCTCTCAGTGAGATGGCCAGTCCCTTCCCAAGCCTGGCTGGACCCATGACTTTGGGTTCAAGAAGACCCCCCAGGATCCTCCCAATAAAACTCCCTTTTGTGCTCAGCCGGCTTGTGCTTTGCAGCGAGCATGTCCTGACCCACGCAGATGTGGGGAACTGGGGAGACGTTTCAAGCAGGAGGAGGGGAATCAAAGAAGAGGAAGAAATGAGCTCGCTGTCCAGCCTTTATGTCAGTCTATCCAAGGCAGGAAAGGCCGTTTCAGAAGAGAGTCTCTAGCACGGAACCAGCAGGGCGGGCAGGCTGGCCAACTGGTATCAGAACACCTTTAGGGCATCTCCTGACCTGAGCTGCAGCGAATCACCTTAACCAGTCACCTGCAGATGCGAAGATGTTCAGTGTCTGGGTATCCTCTCCTCCTCCCCACAAGCCAGGCTGCAGGGTGGCCCGTGAGCCCTCCT